GGGGGCAAGCTCCTCTCAGAGAGGTTTCTGCAGACATGGATGTTTGAGGGGAAGGGAAAATACAAGAACGTGGTGTGGCAGAAGGAAGTGGTTTGCCCTTTTTGGATCGGAGAGCTGTGAGTTGGAGTTTCTGCCTGAAGTGACTGTTTGATCTGATCAGTCCGAAATGCTAGAGGATGGTGAGAGGAAGGTCAGCCCTCAACAACTCTTGGTCTGTCCCAGTGGGTACTGCATTGCATGCTAGCCTTTGAAAGGACACTGTAAATTGCCTTGCACACGTATAGAAGTAACTCAAAGCCTGCAATGTTTAGGGAGACCATTTAAGCAGCACAGAACTTCTCTAGAGGAACCTGAAACTTCCCTGGGCTGGAGCTTGGTTCCCAGCTCAGGCTTGGATTGAGTGCTCTGTCCCTCGCAAAGGTTTTGTCAGCAATTCAAGCCATGCTCCAGGAGCTGCTGGGCGAGGAGGGCTGTGAAGGGTGGAGGGTTGGTTTGGGTGAATCAGTGCTATGTTTCAGAAAATAGCACTTGAGACCTTGAGTGGTGCTGCTGCTGTGTAGAAAGCCAGGCAAAGCCGCCTGCTGCTTTGTGCTTGAGGATTTTGGATGTGTCTTGTTAAAGAAGCTGTTGGACTAGATGAGCCACAGAGGTCCCTTCCTACCCCAAACATTCGGTGATTCTGATTCTGTGACATGTGGCATACCAGTGGTGTTGACTGAAGCAAAGATGTGCCTTTCTAGGAAGGCTTCTTCTCCCAGGTGCTGGCAGTATCTAATTTCAGCCCTGCTAGGTAAGGGAACGTAGGAGGAAGGTTTCCACCTGGCATTGGAGTAAAGCTCTGCAACAGCTATAGCTCTGCGTGATTAGAAACCTCATTTGTTTAAAGGTGGAGTCTGGTCAGCCTAAGTGAGCTGTACATGTCCAGGCTGCCTGCAAGGACCAGGGACCAGACTGAAGGTGGGGACAGGCTGGCACTGGAGGGGGGGACGTCGCTGCGCTCAAGTGGTCTTGCCGGGGCTTCCTGGACGTCCTGGCAAGACGGTTGTCTGTGGTTCTCTGTTGGCAAGGCAATCTCAGGAAGGTCGTTCCGAACCAGATTGGGAGTTGCACATGGCCAGTCCTTAGGTCTTGCTCAGAAGCTTTCTCAGCTTACGGTGGTGGCTTTTTGCCTCTCCTCACTGATTTTGTAAGACCCTTTGAGCCAAGCCATCTGCTGCCATGAGCTGCAGATGACTCCAGCTCACGGCCACAGGGACATTTTCACTCTCTCTGTTCTTTTCAGGCCCATCTATTCTGCTTCTGCAGCCTCTCTTACCGCCGTATCCAAATTTTTTTGTGCTACACGAGCTGGCCTTTTCCTGTTGGAGAGAGCCAGAGCCCCACATGCTGGGAGGCCCTGGCCGTTTGTGGAGACCCCCGCAAGAAGGAGCTCTGACTCCTGGCTCATGCACCAGTCCTGTCCCACAGGAGCTTTCTCCAACAGCTTGCCAGCATCCCCTTCCAGAGCTGCCCGAGGTGGCTGTGGCCCCTGGGTTATGTTTCTAGTTTCCCGGCATGGAAGAAGGCTTGTTCTTTATCTTGGAGGGGCACCCTCCAGTAACGGCGAAAGAAAACAAGCCACCAAAGGAGGGGCTTTGTTTTGGATGGGGATTCCAGATTGCTCACACGTCGGTCAGGTGAGGCCAGACTGGGGAAATGTGGGGTTTCTCCTTTGAAGTGGCTGGATCTTTGCCTGGCAGCCAGAGTAGGAAATACAGATTATTATTATTATTTTCCTTTTATGACTGCCATGTGTTTGACAGGTGATTGAATTCATTGTGGGGAGCTGCCCTCCCCTCTCCCTGCTCTGGGGGACTGTTTGGGACAGAATGACCCCATTAATAATTAAAGAGAAAAGCCAATCCTCAATCTCTATTTTTTTTTCCTATGTTGTTTATAACCAAACAACATTCCTGCCTTCATTCCTTTCTTACCCTGCAGGCCTCTAATACCAGATGACTTGATTCTTGCAAATACCTTGCGTAGGTGCTGACAGCTGCAGCTCTCAAAGCTCTCATGGTACTCTCTTCACTTGGTACCATGCTTTGCCCGTCCAAAAATCCTACCATGTGTATCCCCTTGCCACCATCACCCACCCATCATGCTGCAGCACATGTCCATCACATCTGAGCAGCATCCACAGAAACAATAAGTCAACCCGAGAAGAAGGAAGCCTTGGGAGGGGGCTGTGGGGTATGAAATTTGGGTGGCTTTGGATGGATATTGGCAGATCTTCCTTCCCCGTTGGTGTCCTGGCTGCTGGCAGGTAGGAGCAGGTTGCTCCATTGCTGGGAGGTGCACCGTGGGTACCTTCAGAGCATGGCAGTGCTGGGTTGGGAGGATCCTGCAAGGTTTGAGGGCTCTTGAGGCTGCTGCTGTTCATCCTTTGGATCTCTTGAGTTTAGATGTGTGGGTTATTTTTGCTTGTATGGGGGGTTGTTGGTTTTATTGCAGTTGTAGCCATTTCTTCTTGGGATTCCTGGCATTGGCTGGGGCTAGAGCTGTGCCAACCTGCCTTTCAGCCCCATGGCAAAGTAGATGGTACCTGGCCCCTGCCTAACCTGCCTTCTGCCTTCCTCCTGCCCCCCAAAAGCCTCCAGTCTCTCACCCTTGCAAAACTCCTGGGCCCTACCCCTTGCCTTGCAACTGGAAGATGTAGCCTTTTCCTTGAGCCAGAAAGTATTTGCCACTCTTGGAGAGGAGTCAGGAGGGAGTTTTGAGGCTGGTCTAACGGGCATCCCCTCTGCTCCCTGCTGGGCTCTGCACAGGGCGGTGATGCTGCGGGATGGGGTGGAAGGAGCCGGGAGCTCGCACGGGTCGGCTGCCCCCAGCTGTACGTGATTTTTAAAGAGCCTTATTACTGGTGCTTAGAAAAACATGGCCCTTGGACCATCTGAGGCTAATAGGAGGTGAACTTGTGTGCGAAACAAACCACGCTTTCAACACCAGCGCGCGGGGAGCGAGCGGCTCTTCGCTCGGGAGCCAGCGGAGAAGGCGGAGAGCAATTACATCCCAAACTGTTTATTAAAACTTGTGGAAATTACTCATAACTCCATGTGTGCGACAGCTTTGTAGTTGAGTGATGCTCTTTGTTTGAACATGGGGCTCTCGAAGAGGGCGCGAGCGCGTGTGTGTGTGCGCGGCCGAGCCCGCCAGCGCATGATGTCATGGACGAAGCAGGCGCTGCACTTGAGAGAGGGAGAAATGTGTTTTACAGGGTGAGGTACAAACTGAAATGGCTGTGAACATCTGGAACTGATATTAGGCTTGGAAAATGTTTTCTGTCACTCCAACACTCCTCTGGAGGAAGGTTTCTGAAGTTAAGAAGCTCCGAAGGGGATGAGGGGGGAGGGACGAGGGAATAACATGACCGCAGCGTAAAGTGCTTTTTATGTCTCGGTTCTGGTTGCTGTAGCCAGGCCGTGTCCCTGCCTGTGCCGGACGGGGGACCTGGGGTATCGCTGTTGCTCATTGTGGTGGTCCTGGCTTAGAAGGTCCCCTGGGCGAGCTGAGCCCCACCGCTGGGACGGTCCTGCAAGGGGACCACTACATCCTCCAGTCCATGATGGGTAGGAGGACAGAAGGATCCTTGTCCCTGGTTTTAGGGTGGGGGACCAAGGAGCTGAGGTGGGAGGCTTCATCTGAAAGGCAAAGGGTGAAGTCCTCGGGTGGGAATGGGCAGACCAGTGCCTGGTTTCACACCACCTGGACTGTCTCTGGGGCCCATGTGGGAGGTCAGTGCAGGTTGGGGTGACCGCTGTGCGTGTGCAAAATGCAAGGTTTAAAAATAAAAAAAGCGCTATGAATGTGCTTGTAGCGCACAGCAGGGCTGGGAGCAGCTGGAGGAAGACGAGGGGCTGCGCTTTCGCTGTGTGACGGGCTGGGGTCTGTGGGCTCGGCAGGGGCTGCGTCGTTCCTGGGTGGTGACCGTGTTGCTGCTGTGATGCTTTGGGAGCTCTGGGAGCTCCTCGGTCCCTCTCTCGATGTTCCTCTCCCTGGTGCAGTTTTCTTGCCGGTGTCTGCGTGTTGCTGGGTTCCTGACAGTGCGTCTGTTGGAGAGAGCCTGGCCAAGGCCAGGGGGGTCCCACCAAGCTCCCCCCGGGCCCCGGCTGTCTGTGGGAGCCTTGGGGGTGTCGCCATGCTGGGAGCTCCTCGGTCCCTCTCTCGATGTTCCTCTCCCTGGTGCAGTTTTCTTGCCGGTGTCTGCGTGTTGCTGGGTTCCTGACAGTGCGTCTGTTGGAGAGAGCCTGGCCAAGGCCAGGGGGGTCCCACCAAGCTCCCCCGGGCCCCGGCTGTCTGTGGGAGCCTTGGGGGTGTCGCCATGCACCTGCGAGGGGGCCCGTGGGGCCGGTGGCTTCGGTGTGGAAGCTGCAAGAGGCTCTCAAAGCGCTTTGCTGTTTGTACATCAGACCCTTCCTCCCGCAGGGCATGCGAGGGGCTCTCACTTGCTGTGCAGATGGAGGGAAAACAGCAAGACACAGAGATAAAACGCCTTTCCCGAGGTCCCAAAAGCTGAGCAGTGAATTAACCTCGGCACAAGGCCTTCAGCATCGAGCAGTACTGGCCTCTGAGAGCAGAGGAGGTGCAAGTCCGGATCCCTCCAGCTCCCTGCCCTGTTCTCTCTGCTCTGCCAGGACCCACCAGCTCACGGCTGCGTTACGCCGCGCTCCCAGTCCTTCCCCACCGCCGAGGCGGTCAGCCCTGTACCCACGCGATGGCTGCGCTCCCCGACCGTGAAGCTGTCTCCTCCTGCCTGTGCCTTAGTATCCAAGTGGGTAGAACTGGGAAGATGCGGAGAAACAAAGCAGCTTTGGCTGTCACTGTGGTTGAGGGTGATAGCGAGCGCGAATGCAACGTTGCCACAATGCG